GCTATCCGCAAGCAGATGCTGACACTCAATCAGGACAGATGAGCATGTGAGTGAGCTTTTATCTTTGCTTGCATACCCCAAATCCTCCATCAGAAAAAGGAAGGTTGCTACAGCTGGGGAGCATTTTTGATATTAGAAGATAATGGCTTGGAGCTGCCCATCAAAGGGGACATGAATGGGCATGAGTGGAAGCCAGGAGCTGGTCATTCCTTGGGACTGCTCAGAGGTGTGCAAGTGAGTAAGAGGCCTCTCTGGGCAGGAGAAGGCTTCAGCTAGGTACCTTAAGGGGTCCTTCCTTGACGTAAGGCGAGTAGGACTGCAGATACAGTCTGAGCCAGTGAAGCAGGTTGTGAGGAACGTGGTGGAGCCCTCGAATCAACACAGCGTGTCATTCCAGCAGGTCTGCCTTCTCGCAGCTGGGATGAGGCTGGAGAATGTGCTGTCCCCCTCTGCCCTGGGGGTGCTCCATGCACCACAGCTCAGGAGCGGTCTGGCAGAAGACAAGACCTGTTCAGAGCATCGGTCATGTTGCTTTGGAGTGGAGGCAGGTAAAGAGATTGGAGAGAAATGGGGGAAGGGGTGTAGAGCATGGATTCCACTGGCCTAGTTAAACACATGGAGAGCAAGTCGGTGATGTTTCTAAAACTACTGAAGAAAAAGTCTCATTCATGAAATTGCACAGTATGTGTACAGCCAGAAAACTTGCATTCAAAGCCTTGGATACTCAATAATATCTGATAAAGAATACCATTGAAAAATAATAGTGTTAAAACAGTTAATGCAAATAACTCTGGAAGGGATCTTAAGGCTCCTGCTTGAAGATTTAAGCCAATCTCCAAAAATGGGGGATTAGGAGGAGATCCTTAGGGGAACTGTCTGTCCCTCATCTGAGTGCCCTTGGGCACTTCTTAGGGCTTCCTGCAAGCACATAATGGTAGGTGCTGTTGGAGAAACAAAATGCCGAGGGTGGATTTTGCAGTTGTTGATTGGATCAGAGTGGATGCGCTCAAAAATTGACATAGAATGGGGGACTGTGCTTTCTCCCCAGTAGCTGTTAACACTTTTTATGCCAATTTGAGCATTGGCCTGTGACACTTAAGCATTGCCAAGGAGAGCAAAGCGTGGAGTAGATGCCAGGCTGGGACCTGGATGCCTTGGCTCAGGGTTGCTTTTGATGTGTGTGACACCGCCTAGCAGTAATCACCAAGAGTCCTGCTGTGTTCTGTCCTAGCAGCTACGTGGGTTCAGTGCACCTTGTTTGCAGTAGGTCAGCCTTTCTTGCAGTCTTGGAGACCTTGTAGCTCTCCTGAGTTGTCACCACAAGCATTTTGGTCTATGGAGTAGTTGCCTGCAGAGCAGCAGTACCTGAAGCCAGTGCAAAAACTTCATCAGCTTTTCTGCTCAGCTTAGTTTCTGGCCAGAGACCTGCTTTGCCCCAGATGCTTGCTGGTTGGTGAACACTTCTCCTGTGCCACCAGTGATGAGACCACGTGTGAAAGCACAGTGAGGAAGTCTGTTGCCCTACTTCACGTGGCTTTTGTGGTGGAGTAGCTGGTGCGTGGGGAAGGCAAGCTGAGGAATGGGGAGATGGTGGGGCGCACGCTGCCTGCTCCAGAGCTGCCCTGGCAGGACAGTCTGTCCCCAGCTCCCATGTACGATTTTTTTCCCCCTCCACCACTGTGGTAAGACGAGCAGCCATAGGCCTGGCTTTTAATGGGTGGGTTGTAGGAGCTGTGACAGTAACCATTGCTGCAGTGCGACTTGCTGTTCTCTGCAGGCTAGGACGCACCATTCCTCCCACCAGGCAGCTTGGGGATGGCTCGGCTGTTACAAAAGCAGCCCTGGCTGCGCCTGCCAGCACGCCTTTCTGCTACAGGCTGTTGCAAGAAACTCCATGACTGCTTTGGACGTTTGCCTGCATCCTCCCCTCAGTAATTCCAGGTAAGGTCACAGTGGCCTGGCTCCCATGTCGGTGTGCTGGGCAGCCTGGAGGGTTCCTGCAGAGGAGAGGCAGCCCAGGCTCTGGCAGCTCTCCTCCTTCCAGCCACAGAGCAATAGAGAGGAATATCCTAGTCTGAGCAGATGAAGGGTGCAGGGGGCACCAGGGCAGGGTCCCAAGCATTGAAGTTGCCAGACTAGTGGCATGTCATGCGGCTGAGGGTCATCTGCTTACCTCAAATGGTATAGTGCCTGCACTGCCCTTCCCAGGAAACCTCAAGCCCGGGCGTCAGTGAGTGCAACAGCTTCACAGCCTGGCCGGGCACAGGAGAGGAGCAGGGGGCATTGTTAAGGTGAAGGACCAGCTTGTAGGTTTCAAAAGCTAAGCTATAGTTACTGGTGAGGGTGTAGAACTGTCCTGAAGTGTCTGGTCAACAAGACCCCTACAGGCTTCTCCAGTGAAACAATCCCCCGTACTGCTACAAGACCTACTTGGGACATGATAGTAACTTTGCTGGCTCTGCAGGGATGAGAGTAGATGGTTGTTTCACCTATTGCTTTCTAGCTCTGAGATCGTGTGGGGATGTTTTCTTCTTGTCGGGGAGATGAGGCTGGCAGTCTCCCCAGCCTTGCCAGCAGCTGTGCTCATTTCTGGTCAGGGTTGACAGCCCATGGAGCCCTTCATCTTGCTCTTGCTGCTGTGACTAGTGCTTGTTCCGTGAGCTGGAGCAAGCGGCAGCTGCCCTGGTTCCTGCAAGGTCAGCTCTTTGTGCACAAATAGAGAGAGACGGGGGCAAAAGGGAACGTGCTTCACATCTCCTGGGGACGGGCAGCCCTTCACCCCTAGCCAGCGCCATGCTGTTGCTGCCTTCTGCCTTCTCTCTCCCCAGCAGCGCAGGGTGATGGCGGGTGGTGAGGATGCTGCTGCTAGCAGCATGCTGGGAGCCAACCCCAGGCTGCATGGAGCTGCAGATGCGCTGCTTGCTGCGGGAGCAGTGAGCCCTGCAGAGAACTGGCTGCTGCAGCTCATCCCAGCCCTGCAGGGGACAGAGCTGCTTTCACAGGGGCAGGGGAAAGGCTGGCAAAACAGCTGGCAGGCAGACAGGCTGCTATGGTTAATCAGAGTGCTGTGCCTGATGGTGAGCAGGACACCCAGCTGCCCTGATCTGTGCCCAGCCCTTGCTGGGGCTAAATGATGGTACAGCAGTGCCTGTCCCAGTACTGTCGAGCCAAGCCTGGTGACAGCTGTCCCAGCACCAGTCATCCTGGCACTGGTGCCACTGTCCTGGCACCAGTACTAACTCAGCCAGCACTGCCCAGCACCAGCTGTCCTGGCATTTTACTGCCCGGGCACCAGCCTGGCCCAGTACAAGCTGGCCCAGCCCCAGCGCAGGTTCCTCCAGCCTGTGCTGCAGGGAGGGCACCTGCAGCGTGGCTGGGGAAAGAGCTGGTCCTGGTTTCTGGCCTTGCTCACTGAGCACCTGCTTGTGAGTGCGAGTAAAATGCTTCTTCCTCAGCTGCAGAGGCAGCACCCACACCTTGCCCACCTGTGGCCAGGTACCTGGCAGGGGAGAAGCCAGCTCCTTCCTCCAGCACCCTCCTCCTTGCTGGAGCACCGCAGCCCCTTGAAAACCTTCCCTCTTTTCCTATTGAACATGCAACGCTGCGGGAGTTGCTCATCTGAGCATGGGAAGAGGACATAGTTGAGCTGAACAGGATGGGTCCAGCTTCAGTGACCAGCTGCTGGCCCTGGACCAGAGCTGTCAGTGCAGGACCCCACCGCAGCTGGGTACATTGGGTTTCCTGGAGCTGGAGCCACCTCAGGGCTGTGGTCAGCCAGGCACTGCTGTCCTGCCTTCAGAGCAGCCGTGTAAGGTTGGATCCCCTTCCCAACATCTGGCAGAAATAAAGCACGCATCCATGTCAAACATAATATATTTATAGCAAAAATAGGCTTTTTCTGTAGCTTCCATACACAAGGTTTTCTCCCTGTACATTTACGCAGTAAACAGGTCGACTGAAGCAGTGTGCACTGGGCTGACTCAACAGCTGCCCTTGCTTCAGGCTCCCACTTATCACGGATGGCCTCATTCCCCTTTCGTGGCTGCTCTCCGGAGTCTGTGCTGGATCCTCGTACCTTCCCAGCCAGGGGCTGCAGCACGGGCAGCGAGCAGCCCTGGGGCAGGGGGGAGCAGTGATGCATGCTCCTGCCCATCAGACAGAGGGCAAGGCTGGTGCACAGGCTGCCTCTGTTCAAATGGGGACAGCCCAGGGAGTCCCCCCAGCCCAGGTTCAAGAGGAAGCTTCCCGTAGCTCACCTGTGCTGACTGCAGGCTCCTCCACCATGCAGTTAAGCAGCAAGTGACTAGGCATGGGACCTCAGCCCTCTCATGGTGGTAAGAAGATAGAAGCCACGTTAACTCGGGAAGCTTCCCTTGTTCCTCCTGCCTCTCCACTGATGGGAAGCAGAGGAGGGGCTTTGGGGCAAGCTCCCCGAGGACTGCCCAAAGCCCCCTGCAGAAACCTCACTGTCAGAGAAGGCAGAGCACTAAGGGCACCCTGCCAGCAAGAGCTTCACAGTTTGGAGTTCGCCTGGGTCATTGCTTGTCCATCCCACAGGGGTTTGGCATGTAGACCTAAAGGGCAGGACGTGTAGGCAGCAGGCACATCCCCTTCCTGTTCCCAGGCTGGGGAAGGGTCCTCACTTGGAGCCAGCGCTCCTCCCTGCCTGACCACACAACTCGGGACATTACAACACACCTGCGAGCTGCCCGTGCTGTTCCCAAGCGAGATGCATCACCCCAACGAGGCCAGGTGCCGAAAGGTGGCTTGCAAGCAGGGCAGCCGCTGCAGTACAGGGAAGGAAGCTAGCTCTCCCCTCTGCCCTCCCTGCGGCAGCCAAGGCTGCCGCAGTGCCCAGGCAAGGAGCTTCTGCTCGCAGGGGAGCACCCCTCGAAACCAGCCCCAGTCCCCTCCCGCCTCCCTCTCCCCCCACATCTTTGGCAGTCCTCCTTGGACATGTTCAAGTCTCCAGCATCACACCAACATCTCAGCAGCACAACTTGCCTCACAGTTTGGTAATTGCACGAAATGGGGCCACTCAGTGAGCCCCACAAGGGCGAGGGGAAGGAACAAGACAGTCAAGTAAACTAAATTGAGTAATCCCTCGCCGTCTGTCCCAGCATGACGGGTCACGCATGAGTCCAGGGAGAGAGGATGCTGCCTGGCCCTGCCGCAGCACAGCTCCCCACCACCGTCTAGGAGATCATGTACTGGGTGATGGCCTGCAATGCGTACAGCAGTTCTGCCTGCATTCGTGCTTCCAGGATGAGCAGGTTCACATGGACCTAAGGGAGAAGCAAGAGAGGTTCAGGCAGCCGGAGTGTGCTGCGGGCAGTGGTGCAAGCAAGCACCCACCCAGGCTAGTGAGTCTTTTGACATGGGACAAAATGCCACCAGTTTTTCCAGCACAGGCAGCTGCCCTTTCCCCTTCCTCCCAGTCCTGCAGGCTGTGGCTGCCTCCCAGAGCCACGTGCTGGGGAGTCCCCAGCATGCTTAGCACCAGCATGCTGGGCTGGCATCAGCCCGGTCCCTGCCACCCACAGCAGCCGCTCCTGCGAGTTACAGCTGGACCAAGGGCTTGCCTGGAGGCACTCACAATGGGGTAATGGGCCCGGGGATCCCCGTGCTGCTGGTGGCCCCTGTGCTCATCACACTGCGGGCAGCCCCATGCCACGCTAAGCCCAACTCCTTACAAACAGCCAGTTTCCATTTCCCCCCCACCTGCCTCAGACTGGTTTGGTGGCTCAAATGTTTCCCATACACCCCCTGAAGCACCCCAGCCTGCAGCCCCTGCCCGCTCCCGGCCCCACTGCAGCCGGTCAGTCAGGGGCCGGCTGTCCCACCTTTTCACTGTGTTTGAACTGCTTCCAGAACCTGTCAAACATTTCTGAGTTTGTCTTCTCTGGGTAGCAGGTTACAGTCTTAATGTAAACTTTCAGCATTCGCTCCAGGAGCTGATTCACTTCGGCGTAGTCATAGTCATCGTACCTGCGGGGAGCACAGGGGCGAGTCACTGCCAGCACCATACCCTTGCGGAGCACCTCGTCCATGGTCTGCTCGGGGCAGGCAAAGCCACAGGGCAGGGGGACACATGGCAGCGGCCACCAGGCACTGAAGCCCCATCCCTGAAGTGCCCTGCCCTGGCCAGAGAAGCTGAGCATCTCTTCCCTGCCTGGCCCAAATCCAGGCAGGCAATTCACCTCCGTCTCTATTCCAAGCCCATCTGCAAGACAGCCCAAGTGCCCTACCCTCCTCCCACCTGGGTCAGCTCAGTTTTCTCCCCTGGACCGTGAGGTTGGTTTCCCTACCTAATGCCAAACATGCAGTGGATGTAGTTCCAGATGCCCCGCTTGAAGACAGAGGGTTCACAGCCCTGACGCTTGGCCATGGCACTGCTTTGCAGACCATCCACCATCCGAAACTTCTCATCCAGGAGATGCCCGATGTCGGAGTAGAGTCGGTTGACCAGTGAGAAGCCATGGTCTTCCCAGGAGTAATCCTGTTGAGCACAGCAAGAGGCTTTTGCAACTGCAAAAAGGAGCCCAGGGCAAGTTCCCAAGAAGAAGGGCTGGAGACTTCCAGACGCAGCAGAATTCAATAGGTCTGCTCTGGGGCGGCTCTGCCACAAACCACAACATCCCTCATCAGGCAGCTTTTGAATGATTTTGACCCTTGCCTCCGTGAGGGCGATGTGAAGAAATCGGCAGCCCTTGGGGACAGAAGTCACCGGTCACCTCCCTCTCCCCAACCCTAGTGGGGCAGGTCCCCTCTCAGAGCTGAGCTTCCCCGCTTGGGCATTTTTCAAAAGGCGCTGCACCAGATACAGGCTGCACGGGCACCCTCGCAACCGTCCCCTCCCCACCAGGAACAGAGAGGAGAGAGAGGTGGCAGCCTGAGCTGCTGCCCACCAACAGAGCAGGAACCTCACCTGGACTCTGAATACCTGCGTCTGATCCTCGTCACGCCGGGCAAAGTCCTGGTATCCAAAGTCAGGGTCCTGCATGTAGCATGCAAGATTGGTGGCACTGGTGACTTCCCCATCGGTATCTGCGAGATGGGAGAGCCCCACAGACAGGTCAGAGCGATGCTCAGCTGCCCTCTTCCCAGCTGCAGCAGGCGTCAAAAGCCGGGCCTTGCTGTGCCTCTTTGGGAAGAGCCACTGCCTCCTTCCCCCCTGGCCAGCATCCCAGGAGCCCCTCTTGAAACCATACATCACGGAAAATACAAGTATAGGCATGGGGGAGCAACACCCAGGTATGCCATACGAACTCCCATCCTGCACACCCACTTCCGCTTCCTGCCCCTCACCTTCCTCTCGGTCCTGCTGCAGCAGCCTCATCTCCTCCCTGCCCTCGGTCTCCACGTGGATCCGCTGCATGCGTTCCCGGAGGGAATCCAGCTCCATGCAGGAGTCCAGAGACTGCACAGACACAGGCTCAGGGGTGAGGGCAGCAGTCCCAGCCACACCCCCCATCCCCCCGTGGACCCACCCTCGAGGGCTCACCCGCTTGCGGTTGATGCGCAGCAGCTCCTGGCTGCAGCCGTTGCCAGCGGTGGCTTCGCAGAAGCACTGGTTCCCGGGCGACAAGGGCTTCAGCAAGCCTCGGCCCCCTGGCCCCTCGTCCTGCTCACAGCCACAGCCAAAGACAAAGCTGGTGAGCGCGTGGCAGTGTGCCAGGAGGACAACGGCATGCACCAGCTCCGCCAGTGACCAGCTCCACTCGCTGATTTTCAGCAGCTTCTGCAGGACACAGACAGACCAGTGATGCGATGTGGGCAGGCAGGCAGGGTGCCGGCATGCCCTGGGGATGCGGCTGTCCCCCACCACCGCCCTGGTCCCTGGCTGATAGCCCCCTCAATACCTCAATGTGCTCCTTGGTGATGAGCCATGGCCGGTGTGCCAGGATCTTGTTGATCTCGTTGAGGTTGCGGAGTTTAGGGGGGATGAAGTCGAGGCCGCGCAGCCACTGGGGATCGCCCCCTGCCCGCAGAAACTGTAGCACGTGCAGGTTCACCAGGTACCGGCACTGGTGCCGGGCGGCTGCCTGCAAGAGCAGCACATCAGCATCACCACACTGGCGGGACAGGCGTCCTGGGACCCACCTCTCACCCAACCTCCAGGACATCAGGATTTTGGCCTCTGCAGAGAAGCCCGCAGCACAGGCTGTCTGGTGGAGGAAGAGCGGGGAGCCTTGCAGGGCTGAGCGGAGCTCCCTGTCCCCTCCAGCAGCTCTCAGCGGGGCTCACCATGATGGCGATGTAGTGCCGGCAGTCAAAGGGCAGCGGGCCATCCATGTGCATCAGGTAGTGCTGTGTCTTGAGGAAGCTGTCGAGGTACTGTGGGTGGTAGCCCATCTGCTGGGTCACCGCCTCCAGCCGCCCCCGGCTTGCCAGCACCTTCACGAAGAGGAACTGGGGGCGCTCAGGGTCGCTGCCGGACATCTTCACTACCTGCGGGGAATGCGCTTTGCTTAGCTCTCCCCAGAGCAGCCCGCACTGCAGCAGCCCACCCCAGCCAAGCCTGGGCTCTGCGAGGGGCTGGGATCCCCTCTCCTGGCTTGGTGCTCCCAGAGGGACACCATCAGGTCAGAAGCCACCGGAGAGAGCTCGGGCTCGGGTCGGGGAGCTGGGCAGAGCAGTGCTTGGCAAGGTCACTGCTAGCAGGAGGACAGGCTGCAAGAAACACAGGTTGGTCTCTGCCTGGAAGAGGGCATTGCCTGGTGAGCGGAAGCAAAGGGCAAACTAGGAGTGATGTTTCCTTGCAGCCTTAGAGGCAAATGCAAGGCCAGAACAGGAGAAACATGACAGACAAAAGACCTCCCAGAACAGAGCAGCCCATCAGCCTTACCGCCAGGCCCCTGCACCACCTTCCCGCCCAGCACTGGGATGGAGGGAGAGCTGTGGAGCCTGCTGAGCTGCTCCCAGGCTCCTGCCCAGCAAGCCAAGGGGCGAGCAATGTCCTGGCACCCGCCACGTGGTCAGGAGCACACAGAGGGGCTCAGAGGTCTCCCCACGCGCTGCCCAAGGAGACAGAGTGGGAGCAGGTCCTGCAGCACATGGGTGCGCAGCACAACTCAGCGAGAGGGTCCATACGTCCTCAGCAGCGCCCGCCCCAGCCCTGCACCGGTGCCCCAGCCGAGCACAGCCCCGAGCCACACCACTCCAGTTCGTCCTGAGAAGGTGGTGGGAGCAGAGGGCAGGGATGTGGAAAAGGCACCCGGGGCAGCTGCTACACCCCAACGGCCCTGTTGCCACACCTCCCACCTGACAGCAGGCGCTAACCCTTGTCACACAGAAAGTCACGGCTCCCGCTCACGTGTGGGAGCTCAGGTAGCACCCTCGGATGCAGAGGGTGTGCCTCCCATCCCGGGCTCGAACCAAAATCTCCCGTGGGAGCAATTGGCCCCACTGACACTGCCACCATCTTCCCCCCACCTGTCTCTCCAGTGCAGTCACCTGAAGGCTGGTGACTGGGTCACGACGACCACAGTGGTGCGGCAGCAAACCAGGAGCACGTCTGCAAACCAGCCCCTGCTCCACCATGACCCCACGTTGACACTGCTGGCCAGGACACACGCACAGCCCTCGGAGCCCCAACCAGGAACCCCAATGCCCTGTGCACCTCGCCTTGCCAGCAGCTATCTTGCCAATCAAAGAGCTACATCAGGCCTTAATTTCTGCAGCAGCTCAGTGTGCCATCACGAGGTGACCCAGAGGGTTGGGGCAGCACCGGCAGGGACGGCAAAGCCGTGGGGCACAGAGCGGAGCACCCCGGGGTGAGGGGGAGGCAGAGCGGGGCTGAGCCATGCAGCAGCACGCAGCAGTCACACCCACACAGGCAGTGCAGGAAGCAGCTCTGGCTATTTTCTACTGTCCTGCACTTCTGACAAACACACCATCGCTCAGGTGTCAAGAGATTTACTTAATTCCATTTGGAGCTTCCTCTTCGCTTCCTCTGGCCAAAGGGGTCCAAAAAAAACCCAAAGCCCAAATTAAAATGAGGAGGGATGAAGAGCACCAGCTTCTCTGTCCCACAGGAGAAGGTGCAAACCAGAAGTGACCTGCGAAAGTCCCCCGCAAAGTCCCTCTGCTCGGGGAAATGAGCTGCCCTGAGGACACCCATGGGGCTACAGCCACTGGTCTTCTCCTTCTGGTGGGCAGAGGTGGGGGAGCCAGGGGCCTTCCCGCTCCCCCCGGGGGAAGGTGGTCCCCAGCAAGGAGCTGTGTGACCAGCCCGCAGCTCAGCCTCCGGGGCTGCCAGCTCTTACCGCTCTGCTTGTCCAGGTAATGATGAAGCGAGGAACCAGGCAGACATGGGGTGGAAGGGGAGGATGGAGGAAGGGGAGGATGGAGAAAGGTGCAGGGCAGCCCCCCCCTCGGCCTTCAGCCCCTGGCTGGCCTCTCCTGCCTGCTCCCCACAGCACTGGCTCCGCCCAGGGTCTCTCCTGCCGGCACCACCAGCCACATCCCCCCGGCCTTGCCTCCCCAGCTTCTTGCATTGCCCCCGGTGCCACCTTCCTCATCCTCCCCGGCCATAACCCTCCTCCTTCTCCCCTGCGCCCACTCACAGCCCTGGACGGTGGGAGCATTGCCTCCCTCCCTGGGGGGGCTTTTGTGTGTCCAAGCCCCCTGAACCCCAATAGGCACCTCGACCCTGTACCCACCACCAGCATCACCCCCTCCCTGCCCGGGCAGGTGCTCCCGAGGAAACGACGCCCCGGCGCTGCCCAGCCAGCCAATCGCCGGACAGCAGTTTGCATGTAAAGCAGGCAGGAGGATGGAGGAGCCCAGCCGGTCCTGCGCCCTGCGACCAGGAGCAAGCCCAGGCAGTGCCAGGAGCCGCGGGAGAGCGGCTGGGGGACCCTGCCTCACCCCCTGCCTCACCCCCTGCCTGGCCAGGCAAGACTCCGCGGCGTGAACCCCGCCACCCCCTGGGGCTCCATCCATCTGTGAGGCGAGACCGCGGCTCCGCCGGTACCGGTGATGGTCGCTGGGTACGCGACCGCGGCGGGCACCTC